TCCCGCGGGCGGCGGCGGCGGAGAGGCGGGCCGCGGGGCCGGCCTCGGGCCCGAGCGGGCCGGCGGCGGTGGGAGCGCGGCGGCGACACGTGGTGCCTCCCGGTTGGTTACGGTTGCCGGTGGACGTTGTCCGGCACGGGCCGGACACGTCCGGTGTGGCGGATCTGGGATTTTTTTAGGGTTTCGGGGAGGGGATCCGAGATTTGGAAAGAGGGGTCTATATATAGACATAGAGGGAGCTAGGAGAGTCCAAATGAGGTGCGGTTTTTGGCCACACGATCTTGATCGAACGCTCTAAATGATGGAGAGGGTTTTGGTGGGTTTGAGGCGAAATTGGAGGGGTGTTAGGCTGCAACACACACGAGGCCTTTTCGGTCCCTTGGTTAACCGTTGGAGTATCAAACGAGGTCCAAATGGTACGAAACTTGACAGGCGGTCTACCGGTAGTAAACCAAGGCGCTTGGCAAGTCTCTGTCCAATCCGGAAATGTTTAATCCCCACACACGAAAGAAAGGTAGAAATGACCATCGGAGAAGAATGAAGCGCCGGAATGCAAAACGGACAACGGGGAAAATGGCCGAATGCATGAATGAACACGTATGCAAATGCAATGCACATGATGACATGATATGAGATCCATGACAAAGACAACAACACACAGAGACAAAAACCCAAATCCGAGAAAATAAAATAACTTAAGGCCGGAAACGGCAAAAGTTAGAGTACATATTGGGTAAATCACATCCGGGGTGTTACAGTCGGGGCCGAGACATCGTGGATGGTCTGCACAAACATGCAGGACGGTTGCACCATGCCCAACACGTCGCGAAGGTCTATCTTGGACGTCCTCTAAGAGAAGGGAAATGTACAACCGCATGTTGAAGAGCGTTTGGCTGGTCTCCTGTACCGCCATCGACATTCCTCTGAAGTACCGAAACAAAATCATTCCATTCCGTCGAATTATATCAATACCAAACATAGGAACAGAACCAGGCCCTTCTAATTAAATGGAACCATGACATTTTATTTCACTTTGTTTCGGAACTAAACACTCGCTTACTGGCTATATGTAATTATACTTACAAAAGTAGTATAATATGTGATATACATCTTTTTATACTAATGTATGGGCAGCTTTGCCTTATATCCAAAAGTAAAGCATGCAGCCCAGAGAATTAATAGGAGGATGAGGCAGATAATTAACAGCTTGCGTGATGTCGTCGACAGAGCATCTACGTCCGGACTCCTCAAACGCCCTCATACATGACGATGGACAGCTTGGTCACTGACCGGTCACAAAATCACGATTCAGTGGCACCCCTCATATCGACCCTATACATCCGGCCTGACTAACACCGCTCATATCTAACCCATATCCGGGGCGGATATGGGGAGGTGCATCCGCCATGACTGATTTGGCCCACGTTGGTCCACCCTGACCCACATATGTTCGTCCGTATCTGCATCCCAGATGAAATTCTAGCCACTCCACTCCGCTCCAAACTCCTTCCCGACAATCTTCAACCTTCTCTAACATGGCTGGCAATGGATCCGACTCCGAGATCTTCCGATCCGTTGACTGGGACCTCGTCCCATGCGGAGATGAGGAGATAGCCGTCCGCATGACTATCCACCATTCACGGGAGGAGTGTGTCGGGCCGCTATTGGAGTCAATCCGATGGGAATCCATTGCGTCTGTGTGAATGACGTTTGGATCTGTCGTCGCTGGTGGCTCGAGGCGTATGACTGCGGCCTTGCCGGATGCTGCAACCCCTGGCTGGCTCCGCAACTCCGGGGTGATGGGGCAACCCCTTCGGTGGCGCCTCATTTGTGCAGCACCAGTCTCCAGGTCGGAGGTCAACGCCGGCATGCCTCACAGCCCATCCACTGCGTGTGGCTTGCATGAAGTAGTTTGATGGCATGCTGATGAAGTGGTCAGATGCTATGTGTGGGATCCATATACATTGCATGAGTTAGTTTACATTGCATGTGATTGTATGGATTTAAGGATTTGCTAATGAGGTGCCCAGTTGTGGATGTGGACATTGAAGAGGTGATCAGACGCGTCGATATTTAGGAGACCAGATTAGCTAGGCCCGGCTGTAGATGCTCTTACCATTTTTCAGGAAATACATGTGGAGGCGTCTTTGTCCGGGTTTAGGCCGGTGTAGGGCGCCTTAAACCGGACAGAGGTAGTATTAGTGCATGATTCATCGAAGAGAAAAGTCAAAAACAAATCTTGAATTCACAGTCACGGATCGAGTATGAATCCAAGTTTAAACTCTCAACGCCTGAAACTGGCACCATAAACTTACTGATTCCGGTCAATCGTAACCCTAGACCTATGCGTTGCACCGGGGAAAGAATAACCCCATCTGGGATCACTCACTTGCCTCAATGACCACACGGCCACACGCCATCTTCAGCTTCTTTCGACATGCACGCTCTCTCATCTTTTTCTCTGAGGTGCACATGCAAAACCATGCACACGGGCATCATCCCTGGCCATGCCAGGACAGACGACGACAGCTCGCAAGTCCTAAGAATAAATTACCGGCTAATCTTTGCGCGCGCGGTGATTCTCTCTCAAGAGAGAGCGTCAGCAGCTGGAGCTCTGCTTAAAACAGCGACGGAACGCTGTCAAACTAACAATCTGTTACCCTCCGTCGTGTTACTTGTGCGTGCCTCCACATGCAAAAGGCACGCGTTCTATACTTTCTACCTTTTCTTTTGGGTCTTTGTCTCAGTGTGACGGAGACTTAATAAAGTCTTAGTCGGGTGATATATTAATCCGTCGCACAATATAAAACACTCTTCTTGCAAGCTAACATACCTTCAAAACGTCTTATATTCTCGAAAGAACATCTTATATTATGTGGCGAAGGTGTAGTATATACACACAAGAATATAAAGGAAAAAGTCAAAAAGAAATTTTTTGTACAAATCTCCATGCAAGACAAAATTAATATAGCATTGACTAAGGCTAAGGAAGTCTCGGTCGACTGAAACTTAGCAAAATTATGTTATTTTCTACTGGTAGTAGTACAAAATGTTGAACGATCAGCTTAGGGCACTCTTCTATGTGGACCCGAGTCGATTTCCATATTGCAAATTGCAATATCTTCTGCCCCCCACCCCCCTAACAATTTTATTATCTAATCGGGACAGCAAATCTTGTTATCGGAAGCACATGAACCAACGCCCGGGATTTTAAAAAGCTGCCGCCCGCGGCCCGCACAGTGCAGCACTATGCAATCATGATATTGGCGCGTCGCCTCGCCTTGCCCCGTCCGTCCGGAAGCTGCCGCCCACCGTAACCAGATTCGTACGCGCCACCATCGGCGAACCGCCGCGCGCCACCAGCCCGAGCCCTATCCATGGCCGGGCCGTCCACGCTTGCTTGCGCCAGCACGTGTACCGTCGTCCCTATAAATAGTTCGTCCTCCAATTCTTGGCCGCCGCGAGAGAGGAAGACCCCGCTTCCCAATCCTCACAGATTTTGTGTCTGGTGCGTCGCGTTGCGTTCCCCCCAAATCCAATCGCCGTCCGCAGCTGCCCGATCGCGACATGCCGCCGCACGACCGTCGGGCGCCGCCGGGCCGCCGGATGCTGGCGCTGCCGACGGTGTGCCCGTGCGAGGCCATCGCCCCGGGCACGCTGCTGGCGTCGCTCGTCGCTCTCGTGGCCGAGGTCGCCCGCCACGACGCCGCCGCGCTCCCCGTGCTCCGCCGAGGGGCCGGCGAGGCCCTGCGCGTCACCCGCGTCCTCCTCGCGTTCCTCGAGGAGGTCCGCGAGGCGGCGGCGGAGCCCCTGCCGGACGCGTCGGTGCTCGGCCTGTCCGAGCTCCACGTCGCCATGCAGAAGCTCCGGTTCCTGCTCGCGGACTGCTCCAGGCGAGGGGCGAGGCTGTGGGTGCTCATGAACGCCGACCTCGTCGCCTCCGAGCTCCGGGTGGTCCTCTGCTCGGTCGCCACGGCCTTGGACGTCCTGCCGGCGGACGTGGTCGGGGCGTCCGTCGAGGCTGGAGAGCTCGCGAGGCTCCTGTCTCAGCAGGCGTGGCGCGCGCCGGTGTGGCCGGACGAGGACGACGGGCGCGCGACCCGGAGCGTGCGCTCCATGCTCGCGCTGTTCAGGAGCCGCGCCACGCCGCACGCGGAGGACGCGATGATGGTGCTCGGCCGCGTCGGCATCACCAGCTGGTGCGACTGCGCCGAGGAGGCCGCTTTCCTCGAGGCCGAGCTGCTGGACCGCCTGGAGGACGGCCGCGAGAACGACAACGACCTCGTGCTCATCAGCGGCCTCATGGCGTTCCTCGTCTACTGTCGCGTCGTCTTGTTTGACACCGTTGATGCCAAGAAAGCTGACGCGGCAGCGCCCGGGTCAAGGCCGGCATCGAGCTGCGCGGCGTGGACTAGCCAGGAGGCGCTGCAATGCCCGATCAGTCTCGAGCTGATGACTGACCCGGTGACCGTGACCACCGGCCAAACTTACGACCGGACGTCCATCAAACGGTGGATCAAGAGCGGCTGCCGGACGTGCCCTGTTACCGGCGAGAAGCTCCGTAGCACCCAGTTCGTGCCGAACGTAGCCGCGCGCGGCATTGTCGAGCAGCTGCTCCTGGCCAATGGGACGCCGCTCCACGAGCAGCAGAGCAGCAAGCACCGGTGCGCGGTCGATAAGACCGTCTCGGCGTTCGGCCCGGCCGCGGCCGGCGGCGTGCGTCTCGCCGTGACCTTCCTTATTGCCAGGCTCTCCAGGGGCACGCCCGAGGAGCAGAAGAAGGCGACGCACGAGGTGCGGAAGCTGGCGAAGCGCAACGTGTACCACCGCGCGTGCCTCGTGGAGGCCGACGCCGTGCCGTGGCTCCTCCACCTCGTCTCCTCGATGGACGCGTCCGTCCAGGACAACGCCATCGCCTGCCTCCTCAACCTCTCAAAGCACGCGGCCGGGCGGAGCGCGCTCGTGGAGGCGGGCGGGCTCGGGCTCGTCGTCGACGCCGTCAACGTCGCGGCCAAGGTGGAGGCGCGGCAGAACGCGGCGGCCATCCTGTTCTACCTCTCGCCGAACAGCGAGTACTGCCAGGAGATCGGCCGCATCCCGGAGGCCATCCCGACGCTGGTGCGCCTGATGAGGGACGGCACCTACCGCGGCCGCAAGAACGCGCTGGTGAGCCTCCACGGGGTGCTCCACGGCGCGAGCAGCATCGGGAAGGCGGTGACCGCCGGCGCCGTGGGCGTGCTCGCCAGCCTCCTGCCCGGCGACCGCGAGGACCTGGCGAACGACGCCGTCGCCCTGCTCGCGAGGATCGCCGAGCAGCCGGCCGGCGCGACGGCCATCCTGGCCAGCTCGGAGCTCGTCACGAGCCTCGTCGACTTCCTCGGCGCGTCGGCGTCTCGGTCGGGGAAGGACCACTGCGTGGCGCTGCTGGCCTCGCTGTGCCTGCACGGAGGGGACAAGGTCGTCGCCCTCATGGGCAAGATGACTGCGCTGATGCCCGCGCTGTACGCGCTCATCGCCGACGGCAGCCCTCTGGCGAACAAGAAGGCGAGGTGGCTCATTAACGAGATCCACCGGGTCTACGAGCAGCGCCAGCCGCCGCCGCCGGTGGCGCCGCCGGCCGGTAACCGTGTCATTCGAGTATAGCTATAGCCCACGAACTTGAGTGTGATGACTGATGAAGTGTACAGATGATTCCTGTAATTTGTCTTTCTTTTTCCGGCGGTGAGTTCTCTTTCCTCTGTCCTGCTCGCGTTTTTGAGGAGCAGGGATGGGCATCACATAATGTAAAATTGTACATATGAGAGTGTCTATGTAAAAAGAGAGTGCCAAACTTCCGCCCCACTTTATAAATATAAGTAAACGATGACGAAAGTACCTCCCCGCCGGACGCGGTTTTTTATGTTCGCGTTCTGTATGCAGCGTGAATCGGAGCCGGTCCGGTCATCATGCATGCTGTTCAATTAGTTAGGCCCACGATTGTGTCCATGCATCGGCCATAGCCTAGTAGATTCATTTCTCTAGCTAGATTATATGCATGCTCTGCGCACTTTTCCCTTCCATGCTCATGTTTAGGGGCTGGCCTGCCTCATAATTATATCTGGCGTGAAAAACTAACGTCGCTAGTTAAATTTTTTGTGGGATAACGTCGCTAGTTACTGTGGGATTATTACATGTTAATCCATAGTTTCACTAAAAAATCACGTGCGTGAAATTTTTATGAAGACTTTGTCAGACTTTACGAAGGATGTGCCTGAATTTTGCCATAAAAATCAGAAGGACCTTAGAGAAAACCAACAAAAATGAAAAGTTATTTTGAGTTTTGGCGACGAAGTTCCAAAAATATGGTTAAAAGGTTCTCTACCTATTTTTTAGAAAATGCGAGCTATGTCAGGGTTTTTCAAAAGTTTTTCTATTTTTCATGGCAAAGTTCAAATACCAGTTTAACAAAGTTTGGTTCTATTTAAGATTATTTAAAGAACATTCTTTGAGAACAATTTAAATAACATGATATTTTAATTTTGTGATGTTTAAATTATTCCAACAATATAAGTTAGAGAGATAATCACGGGAATTAATTCTACAGCCGGAGGGGTAAAGCGAATCTAGCGACAACGTCACCTACTACTGGACAAGACTAGCCTGAATCCTAGCGGCAGTGTGTGCGTTCGGTTTTTTCGGTTTGATTCGGTTCAGTTTATACGGTTTTGGTTTATACGGTTTTTATACTTCGGTTCATACGGTTTTATACATAAATACGGTTCGGTTTCGGTAATAACCATTTAATTTCGGTTTGGTTTCGGTAATAACCAAAATAACCAAAGTTGACGCGAATTTGTAAACAAGAAATATTGTTTTGGTCACATGATTCGGTTCATGTATGTATGTTAGATTTTTTTTGTGAAAACTGTGTACGTAGAATGATTGGGTCATTAGATGTGATTTAGATAGCAGCAGATATGAGAGATTAGGTATGTTTGAGAGGTCCACATGATTTAGTCTTACCATTAGTTTAAATGCATGCAGATATAATTGATTACAGGGAAGAAGCTGAAAAAGGAATGAGACAATCCTGTGCATCTAGCCATCCACAAGGACACTACCTTTATTTGAGCAATTGGCTACTTTTTTATTTTTGGGGGAAGTGATCGACTGCCTGGGACTACACGTAGTGCTTCACGCGTGGATCGCTAGACGAATCGGCCGTATGGGCTTGATACTTTGAGCCCAAAGCCTCAAACAAGCACCGCATGTGCGCCCTGGTTGTGGTTCGAGCTGCACCAATTTAGTACCACCTCGCCTATCGAGCAGCAGCGCGGTGAGCGGATGGCTATAAAACAAGCGGTGGCGCAGGCTTGTGTTCATGTTGTCGCAAACTAAAGCGGACTTCGGTTTTATCGGTTTCTAACCGAAAAAACCAAATGCTAAATGGTTTATAGAATTGAAAACTGAAACCATAACTGTAACTTGAAAAAACTGAAATTTCGTTCGGTTTGGTTTTTTTGGTTTGCGGTTCGGTTTTGCACACCTTGACTAGCGGGGCCCTTCTCGGCTTCCTCACACGCATCATGGGTAGATTTGAGCGGTGGAGATACGCGCTATGAACGGAACATGAATATAAATGCCTTCCATATGCAGCGCGAATCCGAGCCGGTCATCATGCATAATGTCCAATCAGTTAAGCCCATCGTTTGTGTCAGCCATTCACCAGCCACAGGTTAGTAGATTCGTTTCTCTAGCTAGATCCTATGCATGCTCTGCGCATTTTTCCCTCCCGTACTCCTGTTTAGTGGCAGGCCAGCCTCATAATTATATCTGGCATGATAATTAACGTCGCTAGTTAAATTTTTTGCGGGATAACGTCGCTAGTTACTGTGGAATTATTACATATTAACCCATAGTTTCACTAAAAAATCACAGGCGTGTAATTTTTATGAAGACTTTGTCAGACTTTATAAAGGATGCGCCTGAACTTTGCCATGAAAATCAGAAGAACCTTAGAAAAACCAACAAAAATGAAAAGTGTTTTGAGTTTTGGCGACGAAGTTCCAAAAATATGGGTAAAAGGTTCCATTATAATTATTTAAAGAACATTCTTTGAGAATAATTTAAAAAACAGGATATTTTAATTTTGTGATGTTTAAATTATTCCAACAATATAGGTTAGAGAGATAATCACATGAATTAATTCTACAGCTAGAGGGGTAAAGTGAATCTAGCGACAGCGTCACCTACTACTAGACAAAACTGGCCTGGGTCCTAGCGGGGCCCTTCTCGGCTTCCCCACACGCATTATGGGTAGATTTGAGCGGTGGAGATACACACTATGAACGGAACGCGGATGTAAATGCCTCCCGTATGCAGCGCGAATCCGAGCCGGTCATCATGCATGCTGTCCAATCAATTAGGCCCACCTTTGTGTCAACCATGCACCAGCCACAGGCTAGTAGATTCGTTTCTCTAGCTAGATCCTATGCATGCTCTGCGCACTTTTCCCTCCCATGCTCCTGTTTAGTGGCGGCCAGCCTCATAATTATATCTGGCGTGGATAATTAACGTCGCTAATTAAATTTTTTACGGGATAACATCGCTAGTTACTGGGGTTTATTACATATTAACCCACAGTTTCACTAAAAAATCACGAGCGTGCAATTTTTATGAAGGCTTTGTCAGACTTTATAAAGGATGTGCCTGAACTTTGCCATGAAAATAAGAAGGACCTTAGAAAAAACCAAAAAAATGAAAAGTTTTTTGAGTTTTGGCGACGAAGTTCCAAAAATATGGTTAAAAGGTTCTCTACCTATTTTTTCAAAAAATGCGAGCTATGCCAGGGTTTTCCAAAAGTTCTTCTATTTTTCATGGCAAAGTTCAGATAGCAGTTTAACAAAGTTTGGTTCTATTTAAAATTATTTAAAGAACATTCTTTGAGAACAATTTAAATAACAGAATATTTTAATTTTGTGATGTTTAAATTATTCCAACAATATAGGCTAGAGAATAATCACAGGAATTAATTTTACAGCCGGAGAGGTAAAGCGAATCTAGCGACAGCGTCACCTACTACTGGACAAGACTAGCCTGAGTCCTAGCGGGGCCCTTCTCGGCTTCCTCACACGCATCATGGGTAGATTTGAGCGGTGGAGATAAGCGCTATGAACGGAACGTGAATGTAAATGCCTTCCGTATGCAGCGCGAATTCAAGCCGGACATCATGCATGCTGTCCAATCAATTAGGCCCACCGTTGTGTCAGCCATGCACCAACCACAGGCTAGTAGATTCGCTTATCTAGCTAGATTCTATGCATGCTCTGCGCAATTTCCCTCCCATGCTCCTGTTTAATGGTAGGCCAGCCTCATAATTATATCTGGCGTGGATAATTAACGTCGCTAGTTAATTTTTTTGCGGGATAACGTCGCTAGTTACTGTGGGATTATTACATGTTAACCCATAGTTTCACCAAAAAGTCGCGGGTGTGCAATTTTTATGAAGGCTTTGTCAGACTTTATAAAGGATGTGCCTGAACTTTGCCATGAAAATCAGAAGGACCTTAGAAAAAAACAATAAAAATGAAAAGTTCCTTGAGTTTCGGTGATGAAGTTCCAAAAATATGGTTAAAAGGTTCTCTACCTATTTTTCAAAAAATGCGAGCTATGCCAGGGTTTTCCAAAAGTTCTTCTATTTTTCATGGCAAAGATCAGATACCAGTTTAACAAATTTTGGTTCTATTTAAAATTATTTAAAGAACATTCTTTGACAACAATTTAAATAACAGAATATTTTAATTTTGTGATGTTTAAATTATTCCAACAATATAGGCTAGAGAGATAATCACAGGAATTAATTTTACAGCCGGAGAGGTAAAGCGAATCTAGCGACAGCGTCACCTACTACTGGACAAGACTAGCCTGAGTCCTAGCGGGGCCCTTCTCGGCTTCCTCACATGCATCATGGGTAGATTTGAGTGGTGAAGATACGCACTATGAACGAAACGTGAATGTAAATGCCTTCCGTATGCAGCGCGAATCCAAGCCGGACATCATGCATGCTGTCCAATCAGTTAGGCCCACTGTTGTGTCAGCCATGCACCAACCACAGGCTAGTAGATTCGTTTATTTAGCTCGATTCTATGCATGCTCTGCGCAATTTCCCTCCCATGCTCCTGTTTAGTGGCAGGCCAGCCTCATAATTATATCTAGCGTGGATAATTAACGTCGCTAGTTAATTTTTTTGCGGGATAACGTCGCTAGTTATTGTGGGATTATTACATGTTAACCCATAGTTTCACTAAAAAGTCACGGGCGTGCAATTTTTATGAAGGCTTTGTTAGACTTTATAAAGGATGTGCCTGAACTTTGCCATGAAAATCAGAAGGACCTTAGAAAAAAACAACAAAAATGAAAAGTTCCTTGAGTTTCGGTGACGAAGTTCCAAAAATATGGTTAAAAGGTTTTCTACCTATTTTTCAAAAAATGCGAGCTATGCCAGGGTTTTCCAAAAGTTCTTCTATTTTTCATGGCAAAGTTCAGATACCAGTTTAACAAAGTGTGGTTCTATTTAAAACTATTTAAAGAACATTCTTTGAGAACAATTTGAATAACATGATATTTTAATTTTGTGATGTTTAAATTATTCCAACAATATAGGC